GCAGAGGCTGATGGGCCGGATTCCCTATTCGCTGGATGCCAGCAAAGCTGGCCTTGGTTTTGTTTGTGTTTGTATTGGTTTCCAACCTATATGCAGAAAATGTGGGCGGCAGAAATACTTGTAGAATGGCCTGACTACATAGAGTTCACCGTTTAAAAAAACCTTTTGGTTGTAACTCTAAGTTAGTATCTGCTACATTGTTAAAGAATGTTTTGCTGACTAGGACTCAGATCTGTTAAGAATCTTATCTGCTGGTGTTGCAACACCAATTTTTGGAAAGCTGCGTCATTTATTTGGAAATACAAAAATTAAAAAAAAAAGTGAATGATGATTCCCAACAATTGAGTTTCTAAGAGAAGAGTGAAGTCATAGGCTGGTGCGGGTTATGGGAAATGATTTCTTTGAGGTTTCTGTTTTCCATCTAGCCTGCATCCATTGGGATGGAAGCCACGTTCTGTCTGCTCGTCCTGGGAGTGAACATGCACAGTCGCATTGTAGGCAGGGTGACCTCTGCACCAAGGCTGTGCTGGAGGATTCCATACGAATGAAGTGGACCGTGTTTGCGAATGTTTTTCAGGCTGCAGGGAGCAGGGGCACACCGAGGTGCTCTCTGTTCGTGGAGGTTTATTCTGTGGATACACGAAATAAGGGAGGCCATGCCTGGGCCGCCTCAGCAGTGGGGAGCCCTGGCCCACCACTCACGTGCTGCGGGTTAATGGGACTTGGTGTTTCTCCGGATGTCTCAAATTCAAACCCCCAAGGGAGAGGAGCTCTAACCACTTCTTCCTGTCACTTTCCACCACAGAGGGCTGCAGGGGAAGAGACACCTCTGAGATCGTGGTGGCTGGAGCCCAGGGAAGCCCTGGAGAGAGCTGTCGCCTCTCCTGCTCTCCCCAGTCTTGTTCCGCACACTGACCACACTTGTAATTCCTCCTTCCGAGGGCAGGGAGCTACTTAACCTCTGGCGCCTCCGTTTCTTCTTTTGTAAATTGGCGGTGACGATGAGCTCTGCCACTTTGGGTTGTTGTAAGGACTGAGTGAGACAATAGAAAAGATGAAATGATTTGATAATTACTGAGTATCTACCATATGCCACTAGTGTAGGCATTTTGTGCGCATTAACTCACTTAATCCTTGCAGCAACACTTTGAGGTAGGGACTCCCACATTGAGGAAATTGAGGCACGGTGGGGATGGTTAACTCACTAATGAGTGATATCCTCATAAAGAGTGATCTTATAATAAACCTCCACGAACAGAGCTCACCTCTCTGTGCCCCTGTGCCCTGGAGCCTGAGAAACACTAGCAAACACAGTCTGTTCAGTGGGAGCTTCCTTCCGGAAGCAGGAGCTGGGTCAGAATTTGCACTCAGCTGGGGCTGGCTCCAGAGATCACGTGTCTCACCCTTACGTTAGTTACCCTGCCTCTCTCAGTGTGTGTAAAGTGTTAGGTCGGGGCTGGTGCCCTAGTAAAGTGCTTACTCAGTGTCAGCTGTTAGCAGACCGTGCCCTGCTGGGGCCCTTGCACAGCCCAGGTCTGGACATGCAGAAGTGCTCTGTGGATCTCTGTAGAAGAATGAGTAAGGCTGTGACCTCATGGAGTCTTTCCACCACTCCCCGGCCCTGCCCACCCACTGGCAGCTGTTCCTCAGGTCATGCTGATGGCAGAACACTCTCCTTTGCCTTGACAGCTGGCGAAGGCTACTGGGCAAGGCGTCCAGATGTGCTGCAGCGGCTCAGGCAGGCAGGGCTGGGCGCAGGCAGGGGCTACCACTTGGCATTATCTCTGCGCCTCTCTTTGGCACCTGGGATTTCTCAGGTGCTGAGCTTTAAGGTAGCAGAGTGGCAGGTGAGTTCTTACTCCTCTTTATAAAAGAAACACCAGGGAAAGCAAAGCATTCTCTTTCTAGAAGCCAGGTCAGTTGGAAACCAGCTTTTGCAGCTCAAAAGAGGTCGTTGGCCGTTAGAAAGCAACACGAGATAATGGTGAGTGAGGGTACAACAAAAACAGTGTGATGCCAAACATGCAAAAACATGCCAAAAATCAGTGTCAATCAATATGCATAATCACTATAAAACATGCATAAATGCACATGGAGAAAAGCTGAAACACTTCAGAATGCTAATAGTGGTTATTGCCTGTGGGTGATAGGTAACTTTTTAAAAAATAATTTCCCAAATTTTCTATAGTGACCAGTTATTGTTTTTATACTTAGGGGAAAAGTTACTAAAACATAGCAAGGAACATCTGGAGAACATCTCTATAAAATGTTTTAGCATCTCAGTTACAAGGAATGCCCGTCTCTGCTCAGGGTCCCTGGGGATAGAGAGGAGAGGAAGAAGCCTGGGGTGGAAGCGATACTGAGCTGTGTGTCTGTGGTGTCTCTGGGGCCTTCCCCTGATTGAGGGACAGAAACAGGAATAGAAATCAGTCCCCGCCCACCCGTGGGCCTGGTTGCTCTCCAGGTGATACTCCTCTCTAGGTCAGTCATTTCTCTGATGGGTCCCAGTGACCTCACAAGGTATTAGTATTGTTTTGTTCAGTCAATACACATTTATATTTACCCACACATTAACACTTTCTGTTGCTCATCATTTTGTTTTTGTCTTGGTATCATTTTTCTTCTACTTGAAATACTCGGTTTAGTATTTATTTTGGTGCGGATATACTGGCAACGAAGTCTCTGCGTTTTTACCTGGAAATGCCTTTATTTTGTCTCTACTTTTAAAAAATCAACTTCATCGAAGTATAATTTCATAGGATAACATTGACAGATTTCAAGCATATGAGTTGCTGACTTTTGACAAATTGTATGTGTATATGTAAAATATATGTATGTACATACATATACACACACATATGTAATATATATAGAGAGAGAGGGGGAGAGAGAGAGAGAGAATGCTGCGATCAAGATATGGAACATTTCTGTCTCCTCAGAAATTTCCCTCATTCCCCCTCTTTGCAGTCAGTTTCTCCTCTACTCCTATCTACCCGCTGCCCCAGGAAACCACTGATCTGATTTTTAGATCAGATGTTCAGAATCACATGCCTGGAATCATACACTGTGCACTCTGGAGTTTGCTTTCTCTAGCGTAGTATCTGTGCCTTTCCTGTTGTATTTTTATTTTACTTGTACTTTTTATGGAATCGTATTCTACTGTATGAATATACCACACTTTGTTGATCCATTCGTCCGTAGTTGTCCTCTGTGGGAGCTACAAGCTACTCTGTCATAGCTAGGAGCAGAAGTCCCTTGTTTTAAAACAAAGAAACTGTCAGTACCTCTGATTCTTTTCAAAAGGTGGATTTCTAGAAGGGGAAGTTACTAAACAGAAACCTTTCGCAGGCTGTTGATGCATCCTGTCAAATGGCTTTCCAGAGCTTTCCGCAGATTTACGTTCCTCCCAGTGGTATGTGACAGCCCTGTCTCACCATACCATCAACAGCATTTCTGTATCTTACTTTCTGATCTTTGCAAGTGTGCAGAGCTGCAGGACTGTATGCAATAGTTGAAAGGAATTTTACCTTGAGTGTAAACCAACAGGTCCTGTACTTATTTATTTGCTTGCTGAGTTTGCAGAATTATCAGTGACTCCACATCTTTAATCTCTGGTCTCACTGACTTCCTGATGAAACTGATCTGAAGAGCCAGTTCAGATCATTCCTGCCATCGGTGTTTCAAGCGGAAGGGAGGGTGTGGCCACAGCTCTGACGTCTCACTACCCCCGGCTCCAGTGACTGCTCCAGGGCTTCAGTGTCCAGCTCAGCAGCCACTGGCTGCCTGTGGCTGTTGAGCACTTGAAACGTGGTTGGTCCAAACTGACATTTGCTGTAAGTGTAAAGCACATAGCAGATTCCAAAGCCTTAGGATGAAAAAAATGAATGTAAAAT